TAACGGGATCACATCATTAGGAGAATGATGTGATTGACTTGACCCATTCTATTAGCTTAGCACTTGATCGTTTAGTATATTGCTATTGCTTTCTTCATGACTTATACATCTTTCTATGACTATGAGATTATCCAACTCCCGTTTATTGGAGGAACACTTTGTGTTCTACCAAACGTCACAATGTAACTGGGTGATTATAAAGGTGCTCTACAGGTGTCTCTGAAGGTACTTGTTGAGTTGGCGTATTTCGAGATTAGGATTTGTCACTCCGATTGTCGGAGAGGTATCGCTGGGCCCACTCAGTAATGCACATCACTATAAGCCTTGCAAGCATTGTAACTAATGAGTTAGTTGCGGGATGATGTATTACGAAACGAGTAAAGAGACTTGCCGGTAACGAGATTGAACTAGGTATTGAGATACCGACGATCGAATCTCGGGAAAGTAACATACCGATGAAAAAGGGAGCAACGTATGTTGTTATGCGGTTTGACCGACAAAGATCTTCGTAGAATATGTAGGAGCTAATATGAGCATCCAGGTTCCGCTATTGGTTATCGACCGGAGATGTGTCTCGGTCATGTCTACATAGTTCTCGAAGTCGTAGGGTCCGCACGCTTAAAGTTTGGTGATGATCGGTATTATGAGTTTTTGTGTTTTGATGTACCAAAGGTAGTTAGGAGTCCCGGATATGATCACGGACATGACGAGGAGTCTCGAAATGGTCGAGACGTAAAGATCGATATATTGGACGACTATGTTCGGACACCGAAAAAGGTTCCGGAAGGTTTCAAACATCTACCGGAGTACCAGGGGGTCACTGGAACCCCCCGAGGGATTTAATGGGCCTACATGGGCCTCAGTGGAAATAGAGGGCAGCAAGGGGAGTGTGGGGCGCGCCCCCCAAGGCCCAAACCGAATTGGTTTAGGGCAAGGGGTGCCGGGGCCCTCTTTCCTTCTCCTCCTCTCCCTTTCCTTCCCCTTCTCCTACTCCTACGAGGAAAAGGAGGAGTCCTACTCCTAGTGAGAGTAGGACTCCCCCTCTTGGCGCGCCTCTCCCTGGCCGGCCGCCTCCTCCCCCTTGCTCCTTTATATACGGGGGCAGGGGGCACCCCATAGACACAACAATTGATCATTGATCTCTTAGCCGTGTGAGGTGCCTCCCTCCACCATAATCCACCTCGATGATATCGTAGCGGTGCTTAGGCCAGGCCTTGCATCGGTAGCATCATCATCACCATCACCATGCCGTCGTGCTGACGAAAATCTCCTGTGAAGCTTTGCTGGATCGGAGCTTGCGGGATGCCATCGAGTTGAACGTGTGCTGAACTCGGAGGTGCCGTGCGTTCTGTACTTGGATCGGTCGGATCGTGAAGATGTACGACAACATAAACTGCATTGTGCTAACGCTTCCGCATTTGGTCTACGAGGGTATGTGGACACACTCTCCCCTCTCGTTGCTATGCATCACCCATGATCCTGTGTGTGCGTAGGATTTTTTTTTTTTGAAATTACTACGTTCCCCAACAAATATGTTACTGTAACATGGCACTTTCCAAGATAAGATGAGTCTACGAGCTAATAAATGAAGTCATCTATGATACTACTATTATGTTACTTTGCATTATGTAGATAGTAACTTAGACTAGTGTCATATGCATGACACTAGTTTAAGTTACTCCCCACTATGACCAGGCTAAGAGCAACTCCAATGGGGCGACCCATTTTGTCCGCGATCGTCTGTTTGGGTCGGCGCGAACAGAAAAGGCGGCCCAACACGCCGACCCAAATAGACGCGCGTCCATTTTTCGTCCGCGGGCGACCCATTCCCGGCCCATTTTTTATCCTGATTTGCATCGGCGCAGACACGCGACGGACGCGCGCGCGCTCGCCTACTCCTGTCCCCGGGCTCGTTGGTCTGTGGCACATTGGCCTCCCGTCTCACCCTGCGACCAACAAAGCAACCCTCCCGCCTCCTCCGTCGTCGCCGCCGCCGCCCATTTTTTCCGGTGACTCTTCCAGCTGTCACCGCCTCCACATCCGCCCAGCAACGCCGCCTCCTCCCCACCGTCGCCCTCCGCCGTCGTTTTACCACCGGGGAGCAAACTATTTCCCGCCGCCGCTTTCCCCACCACACAGCCGCCCGCGACCAAGAAGCCGCCTCGTCGCCCCTGCCACATCCGACTGGCACGCTCGTCGGACGCCGTCACACTTGTCGGACGCTGGCAGGGTAGCTAGCTGGTCTGTGGGTGCCGCGACCCCCCTCGTCGGCCGTCTCCTTTGTCGACGCCCGCAAGCTGTTCGACGGTTTGCCAAGGTACGAAATGGACTCCGCCGACGAGTTCTTTTTCCACAATTTCCTTTGCGACTCCGACGATTCGTCGTCCGACGGCGAGGAGGAGATATTGGCTGCCGTGTTGGTCCATCACCACCTCAACAGCCAGCGGCCGTTGTTTCGTGGCTCCATTCCGGGCCACCTTCCGGCGTTGAATCACAACCGAGAGAGCGGGCATTTCCTTCTCTGGAAGGACTACTTTGATACAACAAACCCGTTGTTCAAACATCACAAATTTCGCCGCCGGTTCCGTATGAGTAGGCATGTTTTCAACCGTATTAGAGAGGGAGTGGTCGGCTATGATGACTACTTCGAGTGCAAAGAGGATGCCGTCGGCAAGATTGGTTTCTCCTCTTATCAGAAATGCACTGCCGCCATCCGAATGCTTGCATACGGAGTGCCCAGTGATCTCATTGGCGAGTACGTCCGTATGAGCGAGTCTAGATGCCTAGAGTCCTTGTATAAATTCTGCAAGGCTGTGATTGCTGTGTTTGGCCCTGAGTACTTGAGAGAGCCGACAGCTGAAGATACAGCTCGTTTGCTGGCGATGAATGCCAGCAGGGGCTTCCCGGAGATGCTTGGCAGCATAGACTGCATGCACTGGGAGTGGAAGAACTGCCCTTCTGCTTGGCAAGGTCAGTATAAAGGACATGTCAGGGCTTGCACTATCATACTAGAGGCTGTGGCGTCTCAAGATCTCTGGATCTGGCACTCTCTCTTTGGCATGGCTGGATCACACAATGATATCAACGTGCTTCAGCGCTCGCCGGTGTTTGCTAGGCTTGCCGAAGGCAACAGCCCACCGGTGAACTTTACTGTCAACGACCACAACTACGACAAAGGGTACTATTTGGATGACGGTATCTATCCTCAGTGGACCACTATCGTCAAGACAATACCCAACCCTGTCGGAGAGAAAATGAAAAGATTTGCCCAAGAGCAAGAGAGTGCTAGGAAGGATGTCGAGCGTGCCTTTGGTGTTTTGCAATCTCGATGGGGCATCGTTCGGTATCCTGCTAATATTTGGAGCACGCAGAAACTATGGGAGGTGATGACTGCTTGTGTGGTCATGCACAATATGATCGTAGAAGACGAGCGCCCGTAACGTCTGTACGATCAAGGCTTTCAGTTTTAGGGTGAAAATGTTGTGCCTGAGCATGGAGTAGCGGCAACATTTGAGCAGTTTACTCAATTTCATGAAGACATGCGTGATTGGGAAACTCACATGCAACTGCAAAATGATTTGGTTGAGCATATGTGGACTCATATTGGCAACCAATAGATGTATCTTCTTTTATTCGTTTGCAAAACTATGTGAAACATTTTTATTTGTATTTGGCTTGTAAAACAATACTATTTATTTGGGCGGCGAGACTATGTGGCTTGTTAACATTTTCATTTCACAATATGTTTGAATGCAAATCAATGTAAAATTGGACGGCCAGCCGACCACACCTGCACATATGGGTCGGCGCGTTGGGTGCGCTGCCGACCCATATCAAAAACAGAGCGGACGTCGGGCGGACGGCCGATCCAAACGAATAAAAAACAGACGAAATCGCCATCCGTTTAGCTCAGTCCATTGAAGTTGTTCTAAGACACATGTCAAGAAATTTATTCGAAGCGTCAGAGAATCTAGATCGAGAGATTCTAGGAGTCGCCCGGGCCGAACGGATCCGGTCTACAACTGCCCCCGACTATCACAGAGAGATTGAACCAGACAACGCAGTGTACTAGTACCAAGTACTAGTGGTAAGCAAAATCAGTACGGGGCACACTGGTGCAGACTGCAGAGAGCGACTCAACAGCGAGCATACTGTACCTCCAAGCAAACCGATCGGGGCACCTTGACGGAGACACCACCCAGCAGCAGCACATCGCCAATTCACGGTTGGAGACTTCCGGAGGCCGGACAGAACCAAACGGGCTGCGACATGCATGACGTGCCCAAGCCCTGCCCTGATCCGTATCACACGACACATTTTTCTCGTTTGTAGGAGTAGTAGAGAAGAAGGATCCTAATCTCGCCCTGCTACAACGTCGGCGGCACGACCGTGCGTGCGTGCCACGGGCGTTGACAGCCAACACGCTCGTGAGCATTAGCATTATCATCTTTCACACGCCGTTGCACGCGACGGATTTTATACATTATTGCCGGAATGTCGCCGGTGAGAACGGGGCCCGGTGAAGCAACACGATCGTCCTCGGATCGGGATCGGATGTGGACACGTCACGGAACCACCCTCGAACCCGGGCGGGACGCGGGGTCGATCGATGACCGGAGTAGTTTCGAGTTCGGCCGGGGTCCGGCGCGCCGGGATCGGCACAGTCCCGTTGCGAACTTGCAAGGCCGTTGGCGGCCACAACACGTACGTAAATAAATTCGTGGAGAGTTCGCGTCGGGATTGGTGCAGGCACAGTTATTGAGGCGGTTGAAGGTGTTTCTCTCGCGGGTTGGACTGCCCAAGACAAGCACGCAATTGCCACGTGCCAGCTACCTCCTCCGCTCCTATTAAAGGCGGGCCGGGGCAGCCTACCACGCCCGCTCTCGCTCGAATCATAATCGCGGACCTGCAGCAATCGACAACAAGAGCCAGAGCCGCAGCGATAATAAAGAAAGAAGAAGAAGCGAGAAGCTTCGATCGGCCAATCGAGTTTCGGGGCCATGGCGGGATCGCGGCGAGGGGGCGACGAGGAGGCGTGCCGCGTCGGGCTCCTGGACGGGCACGGCGGCGCCAAGAAGGATGACTGGCAGGTGGTCGCCGGCGGCGAGGAATCCAGCAAGCTCGGGAGGCGGGTGTTGGAGGAGTCGAAGAAGCTGTGGGTGATCGTGGCGCCGGCCATGTTCAGCCGCATCGTCACCTTCAGCATGAACGTCATCACGCAGGCCTTCGCCGGCCACCTGGGCGACCTCGAGCTCGCCGCCATCTCCATCGCCAACACCGTCGTCGTGGGCTTCAGCTTCGGCCTCATGGTACGCAGCCCGTCTCCGTTCTAATTCATTCGTTTCCTTGCTGCTCTGTTTCGAATCGTCGTCGTCCTTGTCGATCTATCTTTGGGGGCCGGCGTCCCAATATGGTTAGGATTTCTGCTGCTCCAGCGCAGCACATAGAATTACAGCTCAAATTCACCACTTCCCAATAAAAGGAAAGGCTGGTCTATATATCGTGAAAACAGTTAATTGTCACCACCGATATATAGAAAGAAAAGAACATTTTTCCACTACTTATTTACCAATTTAGCACTATGGGTTGCCACACGAGTCCACGTTGCTCTTCGGATCAGTGGCAAGGAAAGGAACGTGAGCTGAAGCTAGCGAGCACCTCTGCTGCCCACTCGATACACTTGCGGTGCATGCAGTACGTGTTTTTGGTCCTACCCTTGTCACTGACAAGTGAGCCCGGGCACCATGGCGAGCGTCAGGACTGACGTAGGTACTAACAGGGACGCCGAGAAGGTTTCTCTTTCCTTTTTCATTTTATGTATGTAGAAAAAATAATAAGAAACGAACAAGCATTGGGATTCCCTCGCCGTGGTTTGGATTTAGTGGGCGGAGGCCCTATTTCGCATTAGAACGAACGTCCCGCCGATTTGTTGCGAGCAGCTCTGTCGAATCCGCACTAAATGCTGCAAGCTCCCACTGGCAGGCACCCATTGACTTGGCTAGACGCAGATTAAACTTGTTGGCAGAGTATCTCAGCATCTCACACACTTGGCCAGCCCGTGAAACAAAGACTTGGCACGACTTGTGGAGAGCATTTTTTGAGCGCACAAACGAGATGGGGAGGTGTCATTCGCCACTGTCCACTCTCAGTTTGATTCCGAAAGCAGCTGGAGCCATCGAGAGAGAGGTACGTAGAGGAGTATAGATGCGAGATGGCACCGGACGGAGCTCTCTCGGTCCCGTGGTCGAGACTCAAAGGACGGATCTCCAGATTCCTAGCCTAGCTTTCTACCTTGTCGGCACCCTCCTATCGCTTTCTCGTCGAGATTGTTTGTCTCCACTGCATGAGACCTTTCTAGGAGACCATGCATGTCGTGCATGTGGTGTCGGTTGAAATTGTGTTTTACATTCAGGGTACATATAAATTGTGTTCTAGATTTAAGTGTACTATCAGTTTAGATTTAAGGGTATCTGTTTAACTGGCTGACGTTCTTCGAACCGGTGCCAGATTTCTTCTAAAAGAAAATTTACGTTCTCCGTAAGAAACTGTCATGCTATTCTGAAGAAGTTGACATCCCTTTATAACCTTAAATCAAAATGTTTCGCAAATGCCAAACCCTCCTGGTGAACGTTTGTTGGGTATTGGGGTTCTTGTTTTTATTTGTTGAATTTACAGAGCTTTGACACTAACTTGTTCGTGCGCTGCGTGCAGCTTGGCATGGCGAGCGCGCTGGAGACGCTGTGCGGGCAGGCGTTCGGCGCCAAGAAGTTTCACATGATGGGCGTCTACATGCAGCGCTCCTGGATCGTGCTGCTGGGCTGCGCGGTGCTGCTCCTCCCCATGTACTTCTTCGCCGAGGACGTGCTGCTGCTCACGGGGCAGTCGCCGGAGCTTTCGGCGATGGCCGGCAGGGTCTCCGTCTGGTTCATCCCGCTGCACTTCTCCTTCGCCCTCCTCTTCCCGCTGCAGCGCTTCCTGCAGTGCCAGATGAAGAACTTCGTCAGCGCCGCCGCCTCCGGGGTGGCGCTCTGCGTCCACCTCCTCGTCAGCTGGCTCTTCATCACCCGGTTCCAGTTCGGACTCGTCGGGATCGCGCTCACCCTCAACTTCTCCTGGTGGGCCACCTTCGCCATGCTCTTCGGCTACGTCGCCTGCGGCGGCTGCCCGGACACGTGGCACGGCTTCTCCGTCGAGGCGTTCGCCGACATTTGGGAGTTCGTCAAGCTCTCCGCCGCGTCGGGCGTCATGCTATGGTACGTGCTTCTACTGATCACTGCATGTTACTTACTGTTATTATACTTTTGGTCTTCGACTCCTAGATATATCTGTTCTACGATGGCTTAAGTACTACAGCTGACTTAAGAGATACTATGAACAACTGATATCTACTGACATACTATGCTGCTTGCATGTGTTTTTTTCTGAATGATTCCCGCCCGTACTATTCGTAGCAGCCATTTGAAGAGAGTCAATCGGGCATCAGATCTCAGGCGCATATGATTTACTTTGATAACGACGGCCAATACAAATAACATTTCATACATGTTGGACTGACAAATTTTTTGTTTCTTGTGCAGCCTGGAGAACTGGTACTACAGGGTACTCATCTTGCTGACAGGGAACCTCAAGGACGCGGCTATTGCGGTGGATGCGCTCTCCATCTGGTAACTATTCCTCCATCGCGTGCTAGTTTTCAGTAAACTTCAGAAGTACTCGTTGGCTATTCGAATATCTTGAATAATTTGTACTCCCTCCGTTTCCAAATATGTGTTTATTTAGAGATTTCAACAAACGACTACATACGAAGCAAGATGAGTGGATTTACACTCTAAAATATGTCTATATACATCCGTATGTTGTAGGATAAATATTTAGGAACGGAGGGAGTGGTACTCATTTAGTGTACCAGTTTAACAACGTTTGCTCGACGTGATTCTGACAATGCAAATATTTTATGTTTTTGTTTTTGTGGACAGCATGACTATTAACGCATGGGAGATGATGATTCCTTTGGCGTTCTTCGCGGGCACTGGGTACGTACCACCGTCTTGCTACGCACATTTCGTGCACCTTCTTAAACCAATCGAAGAACTATAGGATCAGATAAGGAATAGAGAACAACAGAGTTCAGCATGCTAATTTAAGTATGTTGGTCACGTGCTTTGCATTGCAGAGTTCGGGTGGCGAACGAGCTGGGCGCCGGGAACGGGAAGGGGGCGAGGTTCGCGACGATCGTGTCGTCCTTGACGTCGCTGGTGATCGGGCTCTTCTTCTGGGTGCTCATCATGGGGCTCCACGACAAGCTGGCGCTCATCTTCACCTCCAGCGCCGTGGTGCTGGACGCCGTCAACAACCTCGCCATCCTGCTGGCCTTCACCATCCTGCTCAACAGCATCCAGCCCGTGCTCTCAGGTACCCTGCCCAGGCCCAGCTCGACCTCTTCTATCATTTCGGCCCCCAATCTTTCTCTTATGGGCCCTTTCCAACCCACGGGCTGAATTCATTCATCATGGTCGTGATCTCCTGCAGGTGTGGCTGTTGGGTCTGGCTGGCAATCCGCGGTGGCCTACATCAACATCGGCAGCTACTACCTCATCGGCGTCCCCATGGGCGTCCTCCTTGGCTGGCTCTTCAACCTTGGCGTCCTGGTACGTGCTGCTAGTAGTACATCTCTCTCATCTTAGTAGCTGCCGTGGTTGCTTCTACACTTCGGTCTCGGCGCCGCACTGACGACTTTTGTGTGCGAAATGTTTTGCAGGGGATCTGGGCGGGGATGATCGGCGGAACGGCCGTCCAGACGCTGATCCTGGCCATCATGACCATTCGCTGCGACTGGGAAAAGGAGGTGAGTGAGCGAGCCTGCTGAAAATTGAGGATCTTTGCGTGTAACTGGGTGGTCGTAGTGCTGACTGCTGATGCGTTTTTTGACCTGGATGTCACTGGCAGGCCATGGTCGCGAGCACACGGATGGACAAGTGGTCCGAGGTCCGGTGATCGGGGAGCTACGAGAGCAAGTTCCCTCTAAGGTACAAGCACCGTTCCGGCCGGCCGGCTGGCCGTGCGCGCAGTTCGGCGGGCTCGTAGTCAGATTTGTACGGTGCATTGAAGGAGAAAGATGGCCGCGGTGTTGCATACTTCAGACATCGACACTCTTGCAAGGGAGAGGAGGCTTAGCACAGTTTTGTAGTAGTATTGTTGTGCTATTGTGGTGTATACATTCTTTGTTGTTCGTATTCAAGCAATACAAGTTCGGCCATTTGGAATGAAGTTTGGCCAATTTTTTCCACTTGTTTTTTTTTTCTTCTTGGAGGCTTTTTTTTTACAACTCCTCAATGTTGATTTCTCTATCTCATGATAATAAAAACAAAACGGAAAAATGAAATGGGCTGCTCGTTGTTTTCATCAATTTCTCCTGAAGAGAATATCACATGAAAATCAAGTTTCGTTTAAAGGAAACGTCGCTATTCTTTGCTCATAATGTGTTTGAACTTAAATTTTGCATGGCAATACAACATCACCCTCATAATATCCTCTATTTTTTTCAGATTTTTTGGAAACTTCCAAACGTAGTTTCCACGAAATTTTCTTTGAAACTTATTTCCATTGTCCTGCAGAGCCGATAACATGGTTATGCGTGTTCGTCCTCTGACAGACCAAGAATGATCACCCTCAGCCTTGTCGGGGTGTGTGAGATTTGCATTTATGAGCGGGGTAAAGCACGAAACGGCAACAGATTACTACCGTATGTATCAAGGTGCATGATCACTTATCTGATAAGACTGACTATGACGAGGCCCTGGCCCATGTCCGCACGTTATGTTGACAGTGGAGACGGAGGCACCTTGCAGCCAGGTGGGCTAACGGATGGGGTCGGCCTGTGATTGCCAGAGCCGGGCCGGGCCATCACTAAGCCGAATGACCGCACGGGAAAGATTTCTAACATCTGGATCGGCACGGAAATGATGAGGTGCTTGGTGAAAACCGAGGTGGGCATGAAGCTCCTCGGATGCAATCCAGCAAATCAAGGAATTGGACACATGAGGATTTGTTAAATTAGTTTGCAAGACCGACCCTACAAAAAAAGGTTTTCAAGACCGACTTTCTAAAACAAAGATTTGCTCAGAAGAACCGAGGTGCATTCAACTTAAAGACCGGTTTCAAGGGCTATTGATGATGTCCGGAGTATCTTAAACGATATGGTCTGGTTACAACATTAGAACAACTGAATTTTGCTTATGGAGTGTGTTCTTAAACTAGCCACGATGAAGAGTAACATGCATTAATAACATACATATAACCCAAGAACAACTGGATTTTGCTATGGAGTGCGTTCTTGGTGTAAGCGTCGTTGACAACCAGGGAGCTGCAGTCAAGGGCCACCAGGTAACATAGGAAGTAATTAACGCCTTGCCATAAGTCGCACAAGTAAACGCGGTAATTTCTGTAGCAGAACTAATTGCACAATTAATTCACGACGATGTAATGCATAATCTGAAAACTTCTGTCTACGGCAGCAGGTGCATGAATCCAAGGAGATCTTCTTCCTTCCAAATTCAAAGAGAGAAAGAAACGAGGAGATCGCAAGCCATGGAGGTCTGTAAAATTTCTATTTGCATAAGGAAACTCAGACAAGATTACACACAAGGACGAACGAAGAGGTCAAACCCGGTTTAACGCGTCAACGTCGGAGCTCTCTTTCTTCTCGTCCCCGCCGGACCCCGACCCGCTCGGTTTTTCAACCGGCGCTCCGGCCACGGGATGAATCCGTTTGCTGCCGCCGTGCTCCTCCCCGGCGTCCGAGTCCCCGCGGCTCTGCCGCTGCCATGACATGGACCGCAGGAACGAGGTCAGCCACCCCGGTGTCTTCTGATCCGCGGTGTCTGGGTACTCTGCGGCGAGGCTGGCCGCCCGCCGGTGCCTCCGGACGGCGGCGAGCTCCTTCATGACGTGCTCCGGCAGCCTCAGAGTGTGCCGGTCCGGCGCGTCCATGGCCGACTGCGTCCTGCGGTAGTGGTTGTACTCCGCGCCCGTGAACTCGTGCCTCCATACCGTGCTGAAGCTGGTGAGGGATTCAGCCGTGAAAGAGACCACCGAGCACTCCTCGTCGAGCTCCTCCGGCTCCTCCTGCACGGCCGTGTCCGTCAGGTAGCCGCGGCTCTCGGCGGCGGCCGGGATCGCGGGGGGCTCGGTGAGATCGGCCCGGCAGAGCGGGCAGGTGACCGCGCCGGCGAGCCACGGGTCGATGCACTCCGGGTGGAAGACGTGGCAGCACGCCGGGAGGACCCGGAGCTCGTCGCTGTCCTCGAACTCGGTGAGGCAGACGGCGCACTCGAGCGGGCCCGACTTGTTGGTCGCCATGCGCGCCTTCACGTCGCCGTAGACGGCCGTCGGGAAGGCCTCCACGACCTCCTTGTCGAGGCCACGGGGGCGGCAGCGATCCGAGTGGGCGGCGGCATCGACGGGCTGATCAGGGACCGTGCTACGGTACGGCCGGCGAGGGACGGGGTGCCCGCCGGTGCAGCGGTTGATGTAGATCGAAAAGAGCGTGAGGACGACGAAGGCCGCGATGAGGACGACGAGCACGACGACGGTGGTCGGCGAGAACCCGCCGGCGGTTCTGGACGAACGGGTGTGGCCCGTGCTGTTGCTCTGCTGAGCCAGACACGGGAGCGCGGTCGATGAGAGCAGGAGGAAGAGGAGTAGCGATGTGATCTGGCCGCGAGCCATTGCCGTCTCTTGGCAGGGGCGAACCGCCGGCGGCCGTGCAGATTTATCGTGGCGCCGGAGAGAAAGGAAAAGAAAGAAAAAGGAGGGAGGTTTTGATGGAACGGGAAGGAAGTGTTTGATTACGCCGGACGAAAAAGTGTAACGTAAGATCGGGATGGTGATGTGCGTAGAGAATGTTTGTGCGGGACCACCAGTCAGGGACTGGGGGAAACAGGACGTGGTCATGTGGGACGGGGACGTGTAGCTCGCCTCGCCGGTGAGAGGTGGAAGAAGAGCGGGCGGTGCGGCTGACCGAGCTTCTCATTGGCTGCTGACATGTTCGTCAGCCCAGGCAAATCGCCTTAATAAAAAAGTAGAATTATTGGCCTCTCATTTCTATAGCTTTTCTCTGGCGCGTAGTAATCCTGTGGAGGACAACGAATGCCGGGTTATTTTAATTTAAATTTGTAACCGTCTCATCTCATGCCTTTTTTCATGGCTGCATTTGGTAAGAGTTTTTTTTTTTGCGAGGTCCTTGTTTCTATATCTATATCTTATATCAATATAAAAAGATTCAAAGGGGCAGATCGACTTAATCTTAACCATCAAATCATGTCAATCCAACGACCTAGATTGCTTTAATGTCGAGCGCTTAACACGATTAGCATGCAATTAATTTCATACCAAATATAGTAACACGTAAATAATATCCTAGTTAATATCCGCATGCACTTAATATACTTTTAAATTAACATGCATTGCACATACACATTGACTACTACTGATTCAATAAGCCAAATTCTAACAATAGATAATTAGGCCAGGCCTTTCAAAAGTAGAGTTTTGTTACTCTATTATTCTTCTCCAGGGTGCGGCGTAAGCAAAAATATGCCTGGGCGGTGCGGGTTCACATCACCTACCATTGTTGAATGATCATAGAAAAGCCAGCAAGAACGAGTCTTTGCTCCGGTTCAGTCCAAGAGCGCAGGTTAAAGACACCGACGCTGTGTATCGTGAATGTTTTTCCAAGGTAAATTAAAGGTCCGGCCGATGGATACCAAAAGCAGCGATTGGACGGCACCAGCACCACTACCCGGTGTGGCTCAGCCTATCTTGGGTCAGACCACTTTCCGACCTGCCGGCCACCCTGGTTCACGTACGCGCCACGCCTAGCACATCATACCCCCAAGCTGACGTGCTAGTGATAATAATGAACATATTATGAACGCAAGTTGGGATGGTTTTTCTGGTTTGATAAACACTAACGATGTCGAGTCCTTGATTAATGTTCAGCGTAAATTTGGCGAGCCAAGATATATCTCCTCGGTGGTGGTACATTTTAGCGTTCTAGCAGCATGTTGTTGTTGATCGACGAGGTAGTCACACACAGTTTAGATTGTCCAAACCTTGCAACAATCAACCATTAAATGGGCAACATGAATCCTGCATGGTTTTGCTTTGACGTTGCTGAATTATACAGTAGGAACTCAAATCTAAAACCATAAACCAAAATAACATCTTCAATTTTATTATTACTTATTATTTTCCCAAATGCTGCACAACTAAGAAGTTCCGGCATCTTCATTGGAGTCATAACATCACGTTAATGTGATCAAGTGATGTATCACACGTTGCGCGTGGAATCGCGAGCAAACACTCGCTTGTGATCCACGTGGGCCGGCCCATTTCTTTGTTTTCTGCATCCCTCATGGGCTTTTTGATTTTTTTTTTCTTTCTTTGTTTAATTTGTGTTTTGCACCGAACTGAATGCAAAACCGTGATTGTTTACACTCATGGACTCATTATCGCATGCTCTATTTGTCAAGCTCTCCGTCACACTATGCACTATATAGGTAGCACGTCGCAAGGCCATCCATGAGCGGATCTTTCAAAGCCCCCAATCTACTAATTGTTTCATCAATAGGTTCATCAAGGAGCAAGATATGATAAAAGAGACCCCGCCAGTTTCTATTCAGGGCCATCCATCTATACCCGTTGGCACAAATCAGCGACCAAAAGCACCACCGTTGGGCTATGCCAAAATTCATGTTGATGCAGGATTCTAAAAAGGAATTGGGGGATCAGCTGCAGCCGTTTGCAGAGACATAGATGGAACCTTCCTAGGGAGCTCGGCGCTGGATATAGGTGGAGTTGATAACCCATCGATCTTGGAGGCCATTGCATGCATGGAGGCCCTACCCCTAGCAGAGGATCTCAAGCTTCACCAGTTTGTGGTTGCTTCGGATGCTAAGCAGGTCATTGGTCATATCCAGAAAGATAACCGTTGTAGTAATGGAGCCATTATCATCGAGATTAAACTTCAATCTTCGCTTTTTAGTTGTAATTTCACTTTTGAAGGTCGTGCTGTCAATGTTGAAGCACATAGTTTAGCCAAGTTCCATTTGTCTTTAGGTGTGGGACGTCTTGTTTGGTTTGGCCAATCCCACGACCAGAATTGTATCCCACATTTTGTGGACTTCGGTGAACAGAGCTTTGTTTACCCCTCAAAAAATATATTCTAGGTCGATTTCTTCTTGATTTTAGCTTTTTTTTATCATTTTGATTTTGTTTTGTATATTTTTATTTGTTAATGCAATTTTATTAATTTTTTCCTTTTCACTTTTCCACTTTATATGTTCACTAATACTTTTTCAAGATTAGAGTTAAAAAAAATCCTTGATATTTTTTCAGACTTGCCAATATATTTTGTAAATTTACAAATATTTTCCAAACTCACATTTTAAAAAATATATATGAACATATTCTATAATCCTAAACTATTATTGAAAATTCATGAATAGTGATATTCAAAATTTGAACTTATTAGAATATGTGAATATTTTTGAAGACTCAATTTTTTAAAAAAAATCACGACTAATTTTATAAATACATGCTATTGTATTGTAATATATAATTTTTTTCGGATATACAAAAGAGGTGAACTGGGCTGGCTCGTAAGAGGCCTTGTGTCCGCTACATCGTAGCCGGCAAAAATCCATAGAAACGACAAAAGAACGTCT